TGATCGGCAGAAAATGCCACACAAGGGTTCAAGCCTGAGCCTAGAAGACTACTACTCCCAACCCCCGCGCTGGACTCGCCAGAGCCTAGGGCGCTACCCGTACTCCCGACGGCCCCACCGGCGGCACCCGAGTGGTGCACACCTGACTCTAGTCCCGTATCTCTAGGTGCGACACGATCCGGACTAGAGGACTCCACTTCCTCGCTCTCCTTTCTTTGGTTCTCTACTAGCGACGCGATCTGACTCTGTTGGCTTGCGACCAGAGTCATCAACTGGGAAAGCTGCGTGGTTATGACATCCAAACTCTCACCACCACCCTGCGAGTCACCCTGATGGTTGACCGCAGGGTCCGCGTGCTGGTCCCCGTCAGCCATGACGAAAAGGCCGGGTGATCAAGCCGCCCTCTCACAGTCCGTTGACACACAGTCCAGGGGGACGAAACAGCAGTCGACTGATGATCAAGCGCTATAGCGTGTTGATAAAGCGGTAGCTTCTGGGGAAAAGTAGTTGAATTAAAGAGACCCTTGTCAGGAGAGACTGGTCAGAAAGTGGAGTGAGCACGATGTGCAAGCCGTGTCCTCGATACCCTGCGAACTCCTGGAAACCAACGAACCAACGGACACGTTCCGGAACCGTTCCGGAGCACCAGCAACGTTCTACAGCAGTATCTCAGTACCAGTCCTCGGACCATTGCGACTTCCTACACTCCACAAACTCTCGGGATGATTACCTGAACTAAGATACCATGCTCAGACTAGCGCAGCGTCCACAAGATTATTCCAACCACAAGGACCACGAACGTTCCTTATGTCGGTAGCTCAACAATCTACAGAGGATCGACATTGTTCCGTGTATTCAAATCGTCCAATCAGATATTCTACGCAACTCAGTCGATACAACTGCCTCTACCACGAACAGTCGACCCCGCTTGAAAGACACACCACGCTTCCCTCCCAAAAAAGTGTCTTTAACGCGGGGAAGTGACTTTGAAATTCCGGGGCCACTAACACACCATCCCCGGGGCCAATGAAGGCGAAACATGTGTCAAAAGGTGCGCATTCGCAGCAGAAAGGCGACCGCAAGAGGTGTTGTTTGAAACCTACGACACAAGGTGATTTGAAGGTCGCAACCACTGCTGCAAAACATACTTGCATACTGTGGAGAACACCTTCATAAAGGTTGAAACTCCCCAACGTCTGTCGAGGACGAAACATTCTTTTTCCACGATGGCGTCGACAAGAGATGTCAGGCGTCTGCTTTTGGTTGCAAAAAGACACGGGTTCAAAACCCGCTGCTCGCCCAATTTTCTTCCGGAGTACGGAAAAAGAAAAACGGTGGGTGGGCCAAGAAANAACATACTTGCATACTGTGGAGAACACCTTCATAAAGGTTGAAACTCCCCAACGTCTGTCGAGGACGAAACCTTCTTTTTCCACAATACCATCGTTTGAATTTCCCCGTACTGTACCAAAACGCTGAAAGCGATGGTGTTTTACGACCTACGCATANGGCGTCGACAAGAGATGTCAGGCGTCTGCTTTTGGTTGCAAAAAGACACGGGTTCAAAACCCGCTGCTCGCCCAATTTTCTTCCGGAGTACGGAAAAAGAAAAACGGTGGGTGGGCCAAGAAACGATGCACTGTCTATCGAACTCGAAACTTCTGGCAATGCGTGGCGGAAGTGGCGCACCCGCAACACGCACAGAAGATTATTGGAAAAAAGGTGGTTCTACTCCCCGCCAGCCGGTCGGGTTCCGGTTACCCCAAGAAGACTTCTCTTGCCTAGCAAACAAGAAGAAGCCTCGAAAAAGGGGGGGGTAATGTGGAGAACACCTTCATAAAGGTTGAAACTCCCCAACGTCTGTCGAGGACGAAACCTTCTTTTTCCACAATACCATCGTTTGAATTTCCCCGTACTGTACCAAAACGCTGAAAGCGATGGTGTTTTACGACCTACGCATACATGTACACGACGGTAGTGCGCTGGTGTTGATATGGGCTTGATTATTTGCTTTATATTATTTTTTAGGCGTTGTCTTCCCCGTGAATATCTTGCCCAAGATCTCGCTACCGCACCTGAGAAATATCGAAGGTTGTAAAACGACACTAGGAAAATGTAGGTTACGCAGAAACACAGAGACCAAAAATGTCAGGAAAGCACAGCGACGACGAGGACACCGCGCCTCCCAAAAAGTCAAAACGAGGCACAACACAACACAAACGCCAAATTCAACATCAATCACGAGACTTCACCCAAGGCAAACAACGAACGTTGGCAATAAAAGTGCTTTGCTCTCGAAACCGAAAATTACAACCGCCACATATCCCGAAGAGACGCCTGCACCTCCCCCCCCTCCGTTGCTCTTCGCTTGACCTGAGTTTCATGAGTAAACGAATGCAACAACATATTCGCCTGATTGAGAGCGTAGCATCTGATTGAGAGCGAGATTGCGCGATACGCTGTAGCCGGACTACCACTGAGAGGTGGAGCTTGCTGTGTAGCTTGAATTGAAGGGCTAGCCCGTAGCTTCAAGCCGCTACCCTGGTCATCCTGTGGGAGTCTCTCGTTGTGGAGCTACAGCGGGGAGCAGAAGCTACAGCAGAGCCCACCGCCCNTACTTCGCTCTCAATCAGGCGAATATGTTGTTATGCACAGTCTTCGAAAGAAGGTGCGCCGTTTCGCTGAGGTACTTGAAGGTACGCCAGCAGATGGAATATGAATCTTTCCATACAACCACACGCAGTGTGCGGCTGCAGCAGACCGCTGTTGATGATCCGGGATCTACAGGTGCTGCAGCACATTTTCTGGGGGGGGTCGAATGGTGGAAAACCCTACCCCCCCTACTTTTTCACATCTGCGGGGCACTATGTTTCTGAGATTTTTTGTGTCCTTAAAGTCGGGAGTGTCTTTGAAAATGGTGTCTTGAAAGCGGGGACGACTGTACCCGTGGATTTCCTGTAACTGGAAATGATCTCGTTTTCAAATTCGGTGCCTTGATCAGAGTGCAACATTTCTGGTGGTCCAAAGATGCATATTATCCGATCAATTATTACCCGAGCTACCGTTTCAGCAGACTTGTTTGGAATGGGTGTCAAGATTGCGAAGCGTGTGAGATGGTCCATCATTGACCGGACATACTTGCACTTTACACCTCCTGCTGATTCTGATAGGGTTTTGTACTCTACCAGATCGACCGATATTCGTTCAAACGGTCATTGCACAGGTACATGACCTGTCGGTAACTTCGGACGGCGGTGGGCCGTTTTTCTACGCTGACAAGCTTGGCACTCTTCACACCAAGTTCGGATGTCACGGTTCATGGATTTCCACCAGTATTTTTGACGATTTTTTTCGTACGTTGGTCGGTAAGCGAGGTGTCCTCCCGAAAGGGCATGATCATGATAAGCATGCATCATCAAACCCGTTAATGCATGTGGCAACACTAGCTGATCCCGAAATGTACTCCTTTTCCGAAGGTCTCCTGGCAAATACGACTTGAACAAGAGACCCTTTGGTACGGAATAGTACGACATTGTTGTTGCCGTTCCGTGTTCAGGGAGCGGTGCTTTGTTGTTCGTTATGTGTTCGATGTACTCGCCANTTGAGCATGCATCACCAAACCCGTTGAGGCATGTGGCAACACTATCTAGCTGATCCCGAAATGTACTCCTTTTCCGAAGGTGTCCTGGCATATACGACTTGAACAAGAGACCCTTTTGTACGGAATAGTACGACATTGTTGTTGCCGTTTCGTGTTCAGGGAGCGGTGCTTTTTTGTTCGTTAGGTATTCGATGTGCTCGCCATATTCTTCGGCTTGTTCGCGCGTAGTTTGTCACGATGAACAGATTCAAACAGAACTGTCGCACTGGCGAACGAAGCACTGACAGTTATCAACTCGCGGTCGCTAGTCACAGGTTGTACACTATCAAGCTTGTCTGGCGACAGGTCGTACGATCTGCTGGGCGTGGCATTTTGCAACTCCGGGTTTTCCGGTACGTTGCGGCAGATCGGAGCAAGAGTTGGTGTTTCGCGTTCTTGGTCTTGTTCAAGCACAAAAAGACGCGATAACGTCTCAGGCACTACATGCAACTTTCCTGGTTTATGTTTTACCGTGAAGTCGAATGATTGCAGCGCTATCGCCCAGCGTGTGAGCACAATTTATGCGTCGTCACCAAACGCTGAAAAACACGGAAATATTTCCCGTGCCTCCCGGAGCAATAAATATGCGAAGCGCAGATGCCTCACCTCTTAGAATTAGAGGATATACTCGTTTTGAACTAACATTGGGAGAAATAAGGATTCCTGTTCAAGCACTAGTGTTGCCGTCGTTGGGACCCAATAACATGCTGATAGACAATAGTATCATGGGAGCATTCGGTGCTGTGTTAGATTGGCTAGCAGAAAAGCTGTCATTCAAGAATTCAGACGTAAGAATACCTGCGACACACCGAAAAACAAAACAGCCCGCGACCGCATCTGCAGATGAAAGTAATTGCTCAATAGTAGCTTTAGACGGTGATACAGAACTTTAGCCTGTCTATCTCAGCAAGCAATGCTGCGTTCCTGCCCAACATGAAATAGCAGTGGAAGTACATTCACTTGAAGCTCCGGCAGAAACAACACCGGCTTTAGTAGAACCACGCAGTCACAACTGAAGACATGCAGGTACAAGGTATTCCACAAGCATTTCGCAGGATAATAATAGCACGTACTGTGTCACTGGTCCGCGAACAACAAAGGAGCGGTGGTCCAAATAGCCAATTCCTCCAATCGACAAGTGTACCTCAAGAAAAACACGCTTGTTGGGCACATCTCTCCCGTGAAAACAGTGTTGCCGCAGACAGCGAGCAGTGTTCAAACGAGTAAAGAAGAGACGGCCAAACACCGTCAAGACCTACAAAAGGCACTTTCCAAAGCTTTCAAGAATACCACCTTTTCGCCAGCTCAATGTGAAGAAGTACTGCAATTGTGTACGAAATACCGTTCAGACTTCTCATTAACGCCTGACGAGCCAGGTAGATGTACTATTGCGGAAGCTGATTTTCCCCTCGAACCAGGTACAAAACCTGTAAATAGGGCTCCGTACCGCGCAAACCCACGCGTGCAAGAGGTGACCGACAAATGCGTTCACAAAATGGAACAAGCGGGAATTGTTGAACAACGACCAAGCCCGTGGGGATCAGCTTTAACGTTGGTAGCAAACGCTGACGGCTCTCCCCGGTTCTGTGTAGACTACAGAGCCACGATCAATAAAAATTTCGGAAATCATGGTCGATGCCGGAAATGGCTATTATAGCCACATCGATACAGTAGCACGTGCAAAATTCATCACTGTATGCGACGTACAAAGCGCGTACCACCAAATACCAATCGCCGAAGAAGAACAAGACAAAACGGCATTCTTAACACGAAATGGGAAATGGATTTTCAAAAGACTTCCCTTCGGGATTGCTAATGCCCCTTTCCTCTGTCAACGTACAATGGCGTTGTTGGCGTTTGCACATTTTGGTCCCAAATCCGGGCTCCTGGTGTACATGGATGACATGATCTGTTTGTTCATCGACATGAGAGGGACACTTAAAACTGTTGGAAAACACGTTCCAAGCTTTGCAAGCAGCAGGGCTCGCCTTGAAACCATCCAAAGTACAATTCGGACCACAAGAGGTGAAATACTTGGGACACGTTCTCTCATCAGATGGAGTACGTCTTGGTGAGGATCGGATAAAGCGATACTAGATATACCAACGCCAGCAAACATCAAAGAGCTACGATCAGTGCTGGGGACAGTCAACTATGTGCGGAAGTTCATTCCAAACTTGGCGACAGTCACCGCACCCCTGGTTGACCTCACGAAAAAGAGGCGTTGAAGTCAGTGGCAAAACGTTGGGGACCGGAGCACGAGAAAGCGTTGCTGAAGTAAAGAAATCGCTCACCGCAGCTCCTGTGTTAAACTTTCCGGACTTTTCTAAATAATTTGTTATTCATGTCGATGCTTCTAATGTTGGCACAGGAGCATTCCTAGCCCAACAAGATGGTGACTACCTGAAGATCATAGCATACTTTAGTCAGCATTTCAACAATAGCCAACTGCACTACTTAGCAACCATGAAAGAATGTTACGGTGTTGTTCTAGCAATCCAGCATTGGCGCCCTTAACTGTGGGGCAGACATTTTACGTGCGTAACTGATCATTCCGCGTTGCGTTTTCTCTACACGATGCAAGACACGTCAAATATGCTCACACGCTGGGCGATAGCGCTGCAATCATTCGACTTCACGGTAAAACATAAATCAGGAAAGTTGCATGTAGTGCCTGAGACGTTATCGCGTCTTTTTGTGCTTGAACAAGACCAAGAACGCGAAACACCAACTCTTGCTCCGATCTGCAGCAACGTACCGGAAAACCCGGAGTTGCAAAATGCCACGCCCAGCAGATCGTACGACCTGTCACCAGACAAGCTTGATAGTGTACAACCTGTGACTAGCGACCGCGAGTTGATTACTGTCAGTGCTTCGTTCGCCAGTGCGACCGTTCTGTTTGAATCTGTTCATCGTGACAAACTACGCGCGAACAAGCCGAAGAATATGGCGAGTACATCGAATACCTAACGAACAAAAGAGCACCGCTCCCTGAACACGAAACGGCAACAACAATGTCGTACTATTCCGTACAAAAGGGTCTCTTGTTCAAGTCGTATTTGCCAGGACACCTTCGGAAAAGGAGTACATTTCGGGATCAGCTAGTGTTGCCACATGCCTCAACGGGTTTGGTGATGCATGCTCATCATGATCATGCCCTTTCGGG